TGTCCTTCTTCGGAAAGTTAAAGAGAGTTGTTTCTGTTTTATATCAAAAATAAATAAATGCATGCATCCCATTTCTTATCAGTAGGTAAGTCGCTTACTGATAAGAAATGGTTTTAGGGAAGGAAAAAACCTATCGGAAAAAAGTGCTTCCCTATTGCATGTTGGGTCATACGACACAATCATGCCGATTTCTTGGTTTAGATGGTTACACGCCTGTATAACTCACAGGCGGTCGCCGGTTCGAGACCGTAGAAGTCATATTTTATTTTTATAATATGGGAATTCATAAATGAAAGGCCACTTTATATTTCCACATTTATACTATAAAGTGGAAATAGAGTTTTCAGTTGGCGGGATATCCTTTTGACTTTGTAAAATGGGAAATTCCAAAAGAAGGTAGACGGACTTATTGCAAACGCTAGACAGCGGATTAAAACCTTAAAGATTAAGTTTAATACTATTATTATTTTTGCTATTTGAGAAAAAAGTATACGTATTATTGGACTAAAACTGCCATTTTAGAAAAATGCAAAAAGTTCGTCTATTTTTTTCTCTGCCAAAATTCATCCTTCGTTTGGGATTTCCCAAATGGCCATCAGTTCTAAAACCCTTGATCTATTGGTGAAACGGAGCCCCTAAGAAAACATACCTTTCTTATGGGATTTCTAATATGGGTAATCCCAAACGGAGGGTACTGCTTGATATCACTGCCAGAGAGTAAAAAAACGATATATACTCATAATTGGCTTATTCCAAAATATTTGCACCAGCTTCCCGATAACATTTTTAGTTCAGTTTAACCAAAAAGTTTGGTGATATTGGAATACTTGGAAAATGTACCGTGCGCAAATAATTGCCCATGCCTGTATTCTTTTTATGTGTTTGAGTCTATACGAAGTATTTACTCTTTCCATATTTTTTAAAATATATGTTTACACATTATTAACGGAAAAATTATTATGTAAAAAACCAACGAGATTTTGTAAACAATATCGATCATAGATCGACAAAGCTCCCCCGCTAAAAAGGTTGGCAAGTCGGCTGCCCAATTCGCAACATACAGCATAAAAGCTTCCTTAATTCTACCCGCTTAACACTTCTGCCAAAACTCATTAATAAATGCCACTCTTTGATACTAGAAAGAGATCTTTTTTAGTGAAATATGGTTTATATGGCTCTTTTTTTCTTTAAAGAGAGTTTAAATCATTTCTTTTTTGATTCAATCAACCACCAATCCTAACAAACAGGTTACGTTTACATGTAGTTCACAGTATAGTTTTTCTTCGACTTTTTTTCTCTCTCCAAATGATGGGTTTATGCCAGCAAAGCGTTACCTTGAAGCA